ATGCATTTACCGGAGAGGAGATCTATTTTACAGCAAAACCGACAAAAAAGACAATGCCAAAAAAGGAAAGGGAAAACAGGAGACAGTAACAGACTGTGCACTAAAAGGCAACTTGAGACCTAATGATAAAGCAAGTAGGAGGAGGAAGAAATTTTTAGAATCCCAAGAGTCGGAGGCTGAAGTTATTGTCGTGGAAGGTGAGAACAGATGGTGATGCTAAATGGAAAAGGGTAATGTCCAAAATACACAAATTAATAGGGACTTGAGCAGCCACTGGGCCTCGGACTTCTTAAAGGAAGACCCATGGGTGTTAAGGTAGGATGAATGGGGACAGGTGAAACCCGAGTTTTCCATGACAACTGTCCTTCACCCTGAAGGACAAGCCTAAGTCATGCTCTCAATGAGGGAAGTATGGGAGGAACAAGTCAATCAGAGGGGTTTGATCTGAGGACAAGGAGTAGATTCAGGCAGATTCAGCTTTGTGGTAGGTTAATTCACACGGCCAGGTACAGCACCAGACAGTAAGCGCTGCATAGCTGACTTCTCCGCCCCTTCACTTTTCCCTTGACCGTGCTCTTGCTCACAGATGCTCCCAGACCTTCCCATCTCAGACAGAACCCCAAGTCCTTGCCTGCTTCTTCTGTGTCTTTGAGCTACCTTCCTACACTCCTCTTCCTCCCACCACCAAGTCTCTGAAAGTCTTTCAGATGCTGCCTCCATTCTTTTTCTACCCCACTTGCTAAGTCCTTAGCTTCTCAAACAATACTTTTACCGATGACTTTTTTATTTTTCTGGGTAAACTTTACACCCAACATGGGGCTTGAACTTATGACCCTGAGATCAAAAGTTGCATGCTCCACCAACTGAGCCAGCTAGGCACCCTTACCAATGATTTATTATTTTTTTTTAAGATTTTATTTATCTATTTGAGAGACAGAGAGCGAGCGAGCGTGAGGGCAAGCATAGAACAGGGTGAGGGGCAGAGGGAGAATCAGTCTCCCCTCTGAGCAGGGAGCCCAAAGCAGGACTCGATCCCAGGACCCTGAGATCACGACCTGAGCAGAAGGCAGACGCTTAATCACTGGACCCAGAGGCTCCGGCTCAGCCCTCACCTTTTTTTACTTTTAAATGGTGCTGGAGCGATTAACAGTGATCTTGTCATTCCTTCCCTTGGGTCCCAGGACCCAGCACTATCCTGGTTCTTGGTCCGGCCCACTGTCTCCCCTTCCTGGCTCTTCCTCTTCCTGCCTGTTCAATATATACACATTTTTAGACATTTTTAAAGATTCTGTTCTCATTCCTCAGCATTTTCACCTTTCTGTTTTCTCTTGCTCAGAAACTGCTCATTCCCAGAGCTTCCTGCTCTCTCCTCCAACGCAGTAAAAACGTCTAACTCCCTCCACTCTGCCCTGAATCTGTCTCTCCAGCTTGTCTTACAGTTTCGACTGCCTTCTGGCCATTTCCCCTCAACTACACACCAGAACCCCAGATGCATAGTTCTAAAATCTGACCTTCCTGTCTTCACTAACATTGTCAACAGTAACCACATCATCTCCACCCCCAACGTACGAGCCGTCACTTTGACTTAACAACATTCTCCCCTGGAAGGGCTGTTGGATTTAGCTTTCTTCCCCATTTTAACTTCCAATTCCACCTTAGCTCAGCCCTCTTTCATCTCACCGTCCAAATACTGCACTTGCTTTTTAGCTGATCTTTTTGCCCCTTCACTATCCTTTCCAATCCACCATTCACTGTGCTGGGAGGGAATTCTCCATGTACCCCTCGCATTCCTGCACCGTCTGAAGTGTCTGAGCACAGGCCTTTACACCAATTGAAGAATCTTTATATAAGAAGACACTCCAAGGTAGTAACGCTTAAAGAGATCTCTCCCTCCTGAGACGGTCCAGAGTAGTAAAGATAAAGACCTGCCTTTCCTTCCCAGAGAAGATTTGTTTACATTCTTGAGTAAAGATAAGGGCTCTCTCACGAAGGATGAGCCGATGAGCGGGTCACCAGCAACTCCAGATAAGGCAGGAGCCTAATTTTGCGGTTCCTCGCCGGTAAATGCCCCCACTGCATGTGCAGGTAGCAGCGGGCCCTCACTGTGCTGCCCTGCGGCACTTGGGGGAATCAAGCAGGCTAACTTGTTAATTTGTAAGAAGGGTACAACCTCAGGCCCTTTACAATTCCTGACTTAGCACAATACCACCAAATTATTTTGGAAAGATCGGCTTTGACCATGCTACTTCCTTGCCCGAGATCTTTCTTCAACGGCTTCCTATTACAGAAGGAAATTCAAGGTCTTACTTGTCGTTCAAGTGCCTTTCTGGCCTGTGCTCACTCCTTCCCTAGGTAGACCCTGTGCTCTAGTCAATCAGGAGATGGGTCCCAAAACACAGACATCCATATCCTGCCTCCGTGCGCTGGCCATGCCTGGAATGCTCTACTAAGTTTGCAGATGAGGGGGAAAAAACCAAGAAGCACCCGTGCACAAAATGCCATGGCCATCTTTGAGGAACGGGGAACCAAACCACTGATTTCTCTATTTATGTTGCCAGAACTCCTTCCAGGTGCACTGGTGGGAGATCAGCGTGTCCTTCACCCTGGCCACAACCAACCAGGCTGCAGCCCCGGGGAACCACATGCTGGTTGGACATCGGGGAGCCGACGTGCCTCTGGGAATGCTTGGCTGGAAAGGCTGTCCAACTAGGAGCTCCGCATTTGATGGTGGCTAACGCATCCCAATGTCTCCTCCTTTTTTTTTTTTTTTTAAAGATTTTATTTATTTATTTGAGACAGAGAGCACATGAGAGGGGGGAGGGTCAGAGGGAGAAGCAGGCTCCCTGCCGAGCAGGGAGCCGGATGCGGGACTCGATCCTGGGACTCCAGGATCATGACCTGAGCCGAAGGCAGTCGCTTAACCAACTGAGCCACCCAGGCGCCCTGTCTCCTCCCTTTTGAGAAGTTTAAAGGAGTAAGAAGAGGCAGCTCAGGTTCTAGTGTGAACAAGTGAGTCACAGTTCCAGTTCTCTGGGAGGCTTTCTTTCCCAATCTTTGCCTATCCACATTCCTGGGTATTTGGCTGGGTAAACTCCCAGCCAAAGATACTGAGAGCACGCGTTTTTCTTGTAGGCTTTAAGCTTCATTCGAACATCCTCCTCACCAATCTCTAAGATATGTGTACAAAGATGCTGGCTGAAGCATGGTGTGTAAACAGCAAAATAAAAACATGCCTATTAATATAAGCTGGCTAAGTTATCATATTTCATCATCAGTTATAAGATACATCCCAATTTCGCAGATATAAATATCAATAAAATAGCCCACAGTGGTTTTATGTCACTGATTGTTCCAATATGTGAAAAAAAATGTGCCTTTTAGAATTAAAAAAACTAAGGTATTGTGCACTCAAAGAGTGGACTCTTCTGCAGCTGGGACAAGTAAAATAGGGCTGTGGGAGGAACATTTCCTTCAGAACAGGGGGTGGGTGGAGACAGGAGCAACGACTGCATGCATCGGCTTACGCCTCAAGGTGCCACAAATGGAGAGGTGTGTGATGTTACCTGTAACAGTTGTGCTGGAAAAGCAGACTTAATTTTCTTAAACTAGGAGGTGGCCATATGGGTGTATGTTTTAGTATCATTATACATTTTTGTACATCTGAAATATGTTATACTACATTTTCTTTAAGAGGGCTAGCCACCTCTTTTACTGCCCCTGTTCTTTGGGAGACCTTGTGTCCAATGACAGCTTAAAAAATCAGGTTGAAGGACCTAGTCACTGTCTCTTATTTCCACATGTAAGTTTTTAGGAAAGAAAGAATTTCACATCCCAGCAACACCTGGTATGTGCACACATCCAACTGATCAACATTTAGAGACCTAAGTGATTACTAAAATTTTGTTTTCTCCTTCTTTCTCAATACTATAGGCTTTGGCTTCACATCAACCACAGTTTGGCCTAGATCAAAGCAAGATCAAATTTGCAAAAAAGCTATTTTGGCGTAGTTGTTAACAACAACAAAAAGCCTTTAGGGGCTCAGTCGGTTAAGCGACTGCCTTCAGCTCAGGTCATGATCTCAGGTTCCTGGGATCTACGTCATATTGGACTCCTTGCTGGGGTGGTGGGGGTCTGCTTCTCCCTCTCCCTCTGCTGCTCCCCCTCCTTGTGCTCTCTCTGTCAAATAAATAAATAAAATCTGTAAAAAACCCACAAACTTTAAAAAACGTGTGTGCATGGAGGAGGGGGGCATTTCAACAGAATTCCCTTAAATACTAACCTCCTGGTTATTTATAAAGTGGGTTGAATTTTTAGGGACACGGTTCCCAAAGCCGGGCATGATTCAAAGAGTGCAAGCTTTGGAGCCAGACTCTGTTGACTCAGAACCATGCCAGCTGTGTGGCCCTATAAAGTCACCTAACTTTGCACGGCGTGTTTTCTCCTCTGTAAAACAGGGACCATAAGTAGATTACAGGGTGTTGTAAAGATCGGAAATAGTAAACACGGTGCTGTGCCTGGCATACAGTCATTACCCAAAACATGGTGATTACTCGGGGCACGCGGGATGTTTTGTCTCGGTACCGGCGCTCGGACTTTGCGCAGTGCGCCTCCTCATCTCTCCCTGCTCCCCCTGGGGCACTCAAGAACTCTCTCGCTCTCAATTTGTTTCCGTTCAACATTTATGTGCAGGTCACGTAAGCCAAGGCCTCTGGATGGCTTACAGTCAAACTAACATAACACAGTACAGAAATAACCATTTCAGAGGGTTTTTTTGTTTGTTCGTTTTTAATGTGGCAGAGGAACTGGCACCCCCAGGAAGGTGCGCTCTTTCTACACGAGGGGGCCGAGAGGGGCAGCACCGCGGCCTCCAGGCACCTCCCGGTCTCCGCAGACCGCCCGCCCGCTGCAGGGCGTGGGGCGGCCGGCTGGTCCCGGTCCTTTTCCGGGAACACCCGCGACCGGGAGGGGAGGGTCCCGAGAGCGGCCGCGTCCGCACTTACCAGGGCGAAATGCACCAGGGCGTCGTAGCAGAGCCAGGCCAGCACCCCGCGGTCCGCCGCCCCCCGGCCGCGGCCCAGGCGCAGGCCCAGCGCGCAGCCCGCGAGCAGCAGCGCGGCGCACAGCAGCAGCGAGCGGCCGGCCGCCGCCCCCAGCTCCCAGCCCGCGCCCATGCGGCCGGCGGCCGGGGGCCCTGCGAAGGGGAGCCGCGGAGAAGCGGCGGGGCGGGGCCGCCGGGCCGGGGCGGGGCTGCTCGGCGCCCGCGGGCGGGTGAGACGCTTCGCTTCCCGCCCCGCCTCGGGGCCGGCCAGCCGAGCCTGGAGGCCTTCACGAGTCGGGATCTTGCTCACACGCCCGCCTAGTGCCTGGACCGGGCCTCTTCCCAGACGAAGCCCAAAAGACTGGTAGCAGCCACACCTTCTGATGCGCTTTGATTTTCAACAAGGTTCAAAACCTTAAGCGACAAAGCCAAGTCCATATGGTAGAAATTTTGGCAATAGACCGGGAAGAATTTTAGGAACAAAAGGTTCTAATTAAGCCCTTGCAAGTCTTGCAGGAGGGGTGAGGGCCAAAGGTATTGTCAGCCACCAGCAGGCTTTTTAAAGCCCTGGTGGCTTACTCTGACCCTATTTCTTTAAAAACCCACAGAAGCACCAAAGTATGGGGGGAGGGGAGGAGCAATAGGTCGTATTGGCTTGACGCTGGATTCTTTGAACGTTATCCTATCCAAGTCACAACAACCCTAGGAGGTCAATGTTTTCCTAGTTTACAAATATGAAAACAGCCTCAACGTAACTTGCCTACGGACTCTTCAGTAACAACGGAAGCCAGAACCCACGAGACCTTTGCTTTCTGACCCTGCACGCTGACGTGTTAGTAGGCAACTACAGCTCTCCCCTAATGAAGAGCCAATTTGTCCTGATCATGCGTTAACGTTTTCTCTCTGCTTTTGCTAGCATCTTGTTTGCTTTTAACCTTCTCCTCATTCCCTTCCTTAGGTCTCTGGTACTTAGAGACTTAGCACTGGAGAAAGGAGTCAGAGTTTAAAAAGATTGTAACCCTTACTGACCAAGCCTGTGTTTTCACTTTTGGATAGCCAGATAAAATACAGGATGCCCAGATAAACTTGAGCTTCAAATTAAAAAAAAAAAAAAGAAAGGAATTTTTAAATGCTTATGTTGAAGTATCACTAGGGTACTTGTGATAAAAAATTATTCGTTGTTTTAAAAGGTGGTATATACATACAATGGAATATTATTCAGCCACAAACAGGAAAGATTTCCTGTCACATGCTACAACATGGATAAACCTTGAGGACGTTATGCTGAGATGAGCCAGTCACAAAAAGAGAAATAGTGGTATGATTTCATTTCTATGTGGTATCTAAAGTAAGCATATTCCTAGAGACAGAAAATAGAATGGAAGTTGCCAGGGGCTCTGGAGAGGGTGAAAAGAGGAGTTGTTTAATGGCTATAGGGTTTCAACTTTGCGAGATGAAAAAGTTATGGAGTATGGTTGCACAACAATGTGATATTACTTAACACTACTGAACTGTTCGCTTAAAAATGGTTAAGATGGCAAATTTTGTTATGTGTATTTTACCACAATTTAAAAATATGATTTCTGGCACTGAGCACAATTTCAAAAACTTTCTATCCTGGTTACTCCCTATGTAATACTTTATATAGCATTTAACACCAGATAAATTGTTATTTATTTACGCATTTATTGCTAGTCTCTTGCCCTCCCTTTCAGAGCAAAATAAAAACCTAATTAGATTGTCTCCATATTGTGTCCCTGCTCCTCAGTCCTTCCTAGTTTCCACCCTCGTCTCAGTGATATAGCTCTCACTATGGTGACTGGTGATGTCCCCAAAGGACATTTCCTGTCCTCACTTTACTTCTCAACAGCACCACTGGGCACTGGAATCTCTTTTCCCTCCATTTGCTGAGGAAACACACAGCATTTACTTTTGACCTCCCTATCTATACCTTCTGATCCCTTTGCAAGTTCATCCTCCACTACATGCCCATTCAATGTTGGAACTCCACAATGCTGTCCTAAGCCCTGTTCTCACTCCAAATGCTGGACCCAGGTAGTTTCATGCTCACCCCCTGCATTAATAACCACCAAAACAGGCAGAGAATTCAAATCTCTAGCCCAGCTCTCCTCTGACCTCCAGACCAGTATTTCCAACTGCCCTACTTGACAGTCTTTTTGGTTGTCTCAACACAACCCAAACTGAACTCATCACCTTCTCTTCCCTACATCTGAGTCTTTTCCAGTGTTCCCTATCTTGTGCTACTTCCACTCATCAGTTACTGCAACCCAGAAACCTATAAATCATCCTTGGTATTTCCCGCTCCTCAAACTCCAGATCTAAGGCATCATCAACTATTTTAGCTATCAAGTATCTCTTGATCCCATCCACTTCATGGACCAAGCTGTTCACCATCTCTTGCCTCCGTGCTTCACACTCACCAATGTGACCTCTAGACATCATTAACCCCGAGTACCTTTCCTGTCCTTACCTTATCAGCCAATGATTGTTATTACACACGATTCTTCCATCATCACTCTTGTAGAATGATAATGATGAGTAATAATGATTTCCCATTGCTCTTAGACTGACTTACCAGCTGTGGGCCCTGGCCCCTACCAATCTCTTTAGCCTCTCCCATGTCCCTCGTAATCCTGCTCCCTGTCATTACTTTTGCTCTAGTTATACCTTTTTTTTAAGATTTTATTTATTTATTTATTTAACAGAGACAGAGAGAGAGAGCACAAGCAGGGGGAGCAGCAGAGGGAGAGGGAGCAGACTCCCTTCTGAGCAGTGAGCCCGACTCGGGGCTCGATCCCAGGACCCCAGGACCATGACCCGAGCCAAAGGCAGATGCTTAACTGATTGAGCCACCCAGGTGCTCCCCCTATACTTGCTTTCTTTCACTCCCTTTAACTCACCATGGTGCTTCCTACATGATTGACGACAAGGATAGATATAAACAGAATCTGATCTTATTATGAGGAAAACTGGGCTGAAATCCATAATATGGCATTTATAAATTCTTATATTTAGGTTTGAAAGTGAAAATGCCTAACTACTGAGTCAAAGAGAGCTGATGACAAGGGGAGCTGAGGCTATTACTTCATCACAAGTCTCATTATCATGAGCTGGTAGAATAATTAAAAAACTCTCCTCCACATTAATAGAATTAAGTGTCCAGGTAATGGAATGTTCCTATTCCATTTTACCCAGAAACTAGTCACATCACCCTCTATTCTTGGGGTCTTTGGAATGCATGATGTGACAGGAACCAGTTCCAGGAACGACTTCATGCACAGATGGCTGAAATGAATGGGGTGTCCAGGTTGAGGAAGGCAACTGATAAATGCAGATCTGCCTCTTCTGCTAACTAGGAATAACAAAAAAGTTTATTTATAAAGATGGTCATTTAAGAGCGGTGCCTTTTGTTCAGTATTAAGAAAAGAGTTGGTAACAACTAAAGCTATTCCACAAAGTAGAACAGGCTCACTTAAGAGTGTTTCATCATTGCTTCTCAAACTCTCCAACTCTTGCAGGAATGTTTCCGTAAAATAGCCTGCCTCAAAAATCTGATTTTATCTTTAAAATGTGCCCTTTACTCTGTAACACTTAGGCTTGTATTACCATAAAACTGCTCTACTTATCAAGTAAAACTGCTGTCCCATGAAGATGTGTTTATCTTGTAGATTTACAGGTTACTTGGCACAAGGCCCTGTTTCTCTTTGGGTACCAGTTTGACAAGAGACTGACTCAAGAAGGTGGATGGCAATTTTGTTAGGGTAGGGAAGAGGAATGTTGCAGAAGTTCCCTGCAGGGAAGACATCCTTTATAGCATGACTCAACCATAGTTCTACTGCTTTTGATCATTTTTAATAAACTTGTAAGTTTCCTGATGGGGCCAATCTCTCACAGTTCTTCAAAGAAGTGCTTTTCAGACTCGGCTGTGATTTTCTGGTCGCACCCCAGCTTTCCCAGAGAACTTAAATATCTCAACTAAAATGTCTGAAAAACACTGCTACAGGGCAGTGTTGTGAAAATTGTGGGAAAGTAACACATTTGCTTGTTTCACACACCTTCTTTTTGTAGCCACAGGATGAATTCAAGAAGGTTAGTAGTTCCCCCATATTCCCATTTCTATCCTAAGTCCTTTGCAATAGATGGGGCTTAGTACTACCAGGAGTTCCTGCAGATTGGTGATAGGGCTGGCTGATTTCTCCTAAAATGGAGAATGAAGAAAAGGCATACTTGTGTCTCCTCTTTTTATCTGATTCATCTGAGCAAAGTCTGGGACTCTTTACACAACAAAGAGGCATGACTTAGGCCAGTGGTTTGCACCCAGGCAAATTTGGCTCCCAGGGGACAGACAATTTTTGTTGTCACGACGACTGGGGAATGCAGAGGTACTCAGTGGGACTAAAGATGGTGCTAAACATCCTACAATGCAAAGGACACCCCCCCCCCCACACACAAAGAATCAGCCAGCCTAAAATGTCATTATTGCAGGGTTTGAGAAACCCTGATTTAGGTCAAAGTTAGTTGAGGGGTTTCATGGACAAATAAGGAGGCTAAAGGAGGTGAACAGGCTATATTCTCACATCCCTTTCCCCAAACACTTTCTCTTAATATAGTACTGAGCCTATGTCTGTCTATATACACATAGACAGATACACTCCTATCTCTATATAGTACTTTTTGAGAATCATTCTACCACTACTTTTTAGCTTTATGTACAACATAAAAAGTTCCTTAAAACTTTAGACAAATGAGTGGTGGGTTATATAGAGCACTCCTTGGGTTATATGCCTTAAGACTTAAAGCTTAATGTACAGAAATTATACTTCCTTTCTCCAAATAGATTTAATTGAAATTCCCCGGTTCAACTAGGGTTATGAAAATTCGTAACTATCACTGTAAGACAAATGACATTCATGAATTTTCACTTGCAATAATCCTCTAAAAAGGACAACTCTTCTGAAGGAAATCATGGCAAGATGACATAAAAGTACTATCACATTTATTTACTTATACACACTGACTTCTTTCAAAAATAATTTGAAGTGGCATTATACTAAAGTAAAAATATTTGTATATTCCAAAGTTCAGTTCCTCTTTTGTCCTTTTAATTAATCCAAGATTTCATTTAGAGCCACAACCTCTATCTCACAGATTACAACTTCCCAGTTTACTTCAATT